TTGTGAGATAGTATTGATTATATCTTCAATTTTGCCTAGGTATATCTCTAAAGTACATATATTTATTTTGTCATGATTTCAGTAATATATTTTCGTTCTTTTATTTTTTGCTATTCAATCTACACTAATATTCTACATATTTAAGCAACATAACTATAAAAAATGAACGAATTTTAGGAAATAAAAATCATTTCAATCATATATGCTCTGTTAACTCCAGGACAACACTCGGTCGTTGTGCATCTACTATTGGATCAAATCCAAATATCATTAAATAATCACCGGATAAGGAATTTTGAAAAATGATCGTCGAATTATCAGTACCTGGATAAATATTAATCTCTTGAATGGTATACTTCCTCATCGGATCAAGTCCGTTTAATCGAATTGCACCATTACTACCAGCTTGATAACGATTACTAATTAAATACGTAAACCAAAGTGTTTTGTCTTGATTTTCATTAACATACATCAATGATACAATATTACGATTTTGTCCATATGGAGATACAAGTCGAAATAGATCACCATGCCAGATAATATCTTTTAAACGAGCATAAGTACGAAGTACTTGTTGACTGAATATAAGTTCATTTTCATCAAATTTGCTAACGACAATATCATATCCTAATTTGCCCATCATAGCTACATCTGTTCGAAATTTTAACGATTGTTTACCCCAATCAGTAATATGATTACATGTAGCAATTGCTGGAAAAAAGAATGAATAATTCCATTGAATGAATATTCGTTCTAATCCATCAGTATTATCACTTGGCCAAAATTCAGTAAAATATTGCAAAACACCATAATCAATTCGTCCACCACCACCTGAACATAACATAATTGATACTGAAGGATATTTTTTTCGAAGACGATTTAAAACACTATATAAACCATAAACATAATCAACATATAAATGAGATTGATGAGAATTTGTCATTGAATAAGCATTATAAATCACAGCATTACAATCCCATTTAATATAAGCTAACTTTGGATGTTCAATAAATAATCGATCGACAACATTATAAACAAACTCTTGAACTTCTTGATTAGACATATCAAGTACGAGTTGATTACGAAAATAATATTCGGATCGATTTGGTAATTTAATAACCCAATCAGGATGATTTTCATAAAGTTCACTCTTAGGATTTACCATTTCCGGTTCTATCCAAATACCGAATTTAATACCTATTGTTTCAGCTTCATTTATTAAATAACCAATACCATGTGGCAATTTTTTAATATTTTCTTGCCAATCACCTAAACCAACACTATCATTATTTCTAGGATATTTATTACCAAACCAGCCATCATCGAGAAGAAATAAATCGACACCTAATTTTTTACCATCTTTAATTAATGTAATTAATTTTTGTTCATCAAAATCAAAAAATGTTGTTTCCCAATTATTAAATAAAGTTAATCGATTACCTTCACCTTGTGGAATACGATATTTTCTTGCCCATCGGTGCAAATTTCGACTTGCTACACCTAAACCTTGACTAGAACAAGTAAAAAGAAAACTAGGCGTGATAAATTCTTTGTCTGGAACTAAAATATATTCTGATGCATATGGATTTATACCAGCAATAAGTCGTAAATTATGAAGTGGATCAATTTCAAATTGAATTTGATAATTACCTGACCATGCTAGTGTACCACCAAATACTTCACCATAATTCTCATCAGTATGACTCAAAGGTTGACGTAATGATAGAAAAAATGATGGTGATTGAAATAGATCAGCTCGTGTTCCTAATTTAGTATCTAATACTTTAATACCTGTAGTCAATTGAATTTCTTCTAGGTTCATTTCACGTCCCCAATCGCCATGAAAATGTGTCAAATAATATTTATCAGCCGAACTAAAATATAGATTAGCTGAACTGTATTTTTGTAAGCGTACAACATTCGATTCCGTATGTTTGATACTTGTCCATTGTTCAATAATATTTTCTTTATAATAAGCTTTATAATAAAGAATAACTTCAAATGGATAAACAGGATCTTTCAAATGAATTGTTGTTAATGATATTCCATTAGATTCATCAATCGTATCTTGCTGATGAGAAACATATTTCAGTTCTAATGATGGATTTCCATCAGCATGAATTACTTGTATAGCAGGTTCGAGTAAATTACGTGTACCACTTGATGTATAAGCAGAACTATATAAACCAGTATAGTCACCATTGTATTGTTTAGCATCAAAACTTTGAATAGATGCATATTCTTCCTTATGACGAAGTCGTTTTCCAATATAAATCAATAATGGATCACGATTTTGATTTATTCGAATAACAAGTGCTGTATACTCGGTTTCAACCGGTATATGAATGATATCAACGTGGTTTCCTAAAAAAAACAAAAAGTTCAAAACAATGAATTATTTACAATATCTTGATCTCTCATAATTATCACCAAAACAAAAATATATTCTACTAAAATTCACTTACATTCTACAGTACAATTAATCGTAAAAAATGCATAAACGATTATGAGAAAAACAAATTGTTTAGAAAACATGAAATGATTTTTCTTGATCAATACTTCAACAGATAAAAAAGGTAGGTCTTCTGTGATTTTCAATTCACATACAACTTAATTTATATATCAATATTTCTTTAAAACAACAAAGAACAGAATGATGTGTCAAAAATGTCACATCAACGAATAAGCAATAAAGGAATTACATGCTCTCTATGCAAACGCTCGATTTCTGATTTATTTAGCCTTCTTTTATCAAATAGTTATACAATGCTATATTGAAAAGAGATTAACAATGATATTTGTCTCCATAGAGTAGACAAGCACCTGATAGTTTTTTGAAATTACAAAATGTTTTTTCATAATGATCTAACAGTTGCTTCAAGAAGCCGGAGCTTCTCAATATTTTAGTAACATTTCTTGTCATATTCATTTACTCAAACTGTGGCTTCATTCCTTCAAGATTCCCCTTTGAATTTCCTACAAAATGGTATGTTTTTTTTTTAATTGATGTAAGTAATTAATATTTATCATTTTCTGAAAAACATTTGGAACGAACTGTCCAAAGTGAAGTCATTTTTTGTTGAACTTTTTTTTAATAACACATTTTAATTCTTCTTTAAAAATATCTTTCTAGATTATGTTTTCCACATGATGGAATGAGTATGATTCGCTTTAAATTTCAATTATTCGATGACGATAGAGAAAAAGCTATCCTAGCATTGTTGTTACGTATTTGATGGATGTGAGGTTTCATATTAACCTATTGAAACCTCCAATGTGATGTTCATGGTTGTGTTCGATCAAGGCATATTAGATTATTCTTAATACATGCAAAATGTTCGTTCTCTAGCACCAAAATATGGTAATAAGATCTTCACAAAATAATGAAAAATTCAGTAAGCTTGCACTAAATCCGAGATGCATCCGTTGATACAGCAATGATGCGAGGACAACTGTTGTTCTATTATTATTGGCCGAGCCATCGAATAGCTCATATTTAAATCGACTGAACCATTTAGTTTAGAATGAATCTGCTTATTTCATCATCTGGAAAACAATCTTACAAAATTATCTATCTTAAACTGTTCGTTTCAAACATGTTTCGGAAAATGTTGAATATTACTTAAGTCAATTAAAAAACAACTACAGTCTGAGTAAATGAATATGACTAAAATACTGAGTGATCTATGCTTCCTGAAACATCCTTTGTAAAGAAAAAGATTAAAGAACTTCTCGATATTTGAAAGGATATTCCTAGAATCTCTGCAGTAAAAATGATTTCGAACTGTGTATCAAACCGCTAAATGATTACTTGTCACATTGTAAAACGATTTCTTTTCATGATTAATTAGCTACATCAAATTAGACTAGAAAAATTGATAAACTTAATTACCACACATCGTTCAATAGTTGACCATCATTATAAAATTTATTTTGTACAATAATAATCATATTTACTATTCCAAATAACAGTGAAATAAAAAAGACCAGGATTGGGTCGTTGTCAACATGCAATAAAGATATCGACACAAATGGTGGCGGGATACGATGGTTGCAAAAGTATTACTTTCTCTATAAATTTTTCCGATCCTCAACTTCTTAAAAATGTTACTGACGAAAGTAAAAAAAAATACATTGCCATGGAATAATAATTCTTAAAATTCTATAAACTTGCTCGTTCTATGCAATAGCAAGAAAAGTAAGCTATGCATTACGATAACATATCTAACGTCACTCAAATGTTTATCAAAGATAACCAAGATATAATTGATAAAATCTGCAAACGATTATAATTACACTGACTTACATTCATAAAATTAATGATTTTTAAAGTCTAGAGAATTCTCTTAATTTTCTCTTTTTTTGTGTAACGATTAAATCTCGTAAAATTTATAATCAAATTTTATTGATTAAATAAATTTCTACTAACTCTAGTGACTTTGACTATGTTTCTAAACGTATTGAATAAATCTAAAGAGTAATGATGTCATGATGACATAAATAGTTATAAACATAAAGGAGATATTCCAATTAATATTGACTTTGAAAGCTAATACAGTGAATTTTGCTAAAAATAAAAACTAGATGATACTGACGTTATTATTATGGGTTTTTCTTCAGTATAATATACTTGATCTTTTATATGGGAGCAATAAACACTTGAGATTGTTAGAACTTCTTTATATTTCATATAAACTTTTATGTTTTGTCTATAGATGCCGTTAGTAAACGTTGATTACTTTCTAGTGGCTTCCTTGTGAACTGATCGGTCAAATTTTTTTTTCTTTCCTGTTTGACAATCAGTCTGACTGACTTATTTCTTCTGCATTGTAAACAAACAATAAGCAACAAAAAAAAAAAAGAAAAAAGATGATCCATCTTGTCGTGAGAATTTTCAGTGTATTTACGCATTAGTGTACGTGAGTGCATGTGTATATATTTGAATGGATTGTTGTTCTCATTAAATATTATTCTATTAATAAAAAACGAAAAAAAAAAAAATGTTTGAAAATATCAATGATGATGTCGAATCTCGTTTAAACGAACTCGAACGTCTATTATTTAATTCTTCCATAAAAGATCAAACTGTCTTAGGTGTTGAAGCATTACTTGATGCGTTTATTGTACTTTATGATGAATGTTGTAGTTCAACATTACGAAGAGAAAAAACTATAGCTGAATTTATAGAATATGGTTAGTAAATATTGATTTAATAAAAAAAAAAAGAAGAAGAAGAAAAAAAAAACCGCAATATTTTGATTTGTAGCTAAATCATTTGTATCACGTGTGAAACGATGTCGATTAAATCGAAACGATTTCGAAACAATCAAAATTATTGGTCGTGGAGCTTTTGGCGAAGGTAAAAATAATATTGTTTTTTTGTTTTTGATTTTTTATCTATTGAAATTATATTTAGTCGCTGTTGTGAAACTAAAAAATACCGATCGTGTATTTGCAATGAAAACATTGAACAAATGGGAAATGTTAAAACGAGCTGATACAGCTTGTTTTCGTGAAGAACGTGATGTACTTGTATTTGGTGATCCACATTGGTTAACTAAATTGCATTATGCATTTCAAGATGGAGAAAATTTAGTAAAAAAAAAATAACAACATTTTTGCTAGAATTTGTTTTTTTTTATTTCATATTATTTTGTTAGTATTTTATTATGGATTATTATTTTGGTGGTGATCTGCTTACTTTATTATCAAAATTTGATGATCATTTTTCGGAAGAAATGACTAGATTTTATGTTGCAGAAATGGTCTTAGCTATTGATTCACTTCATAAACTTGGTTATGTTCATCGAGATATTAAGTTAGTTTATAATTAATATTTTCTTTTTTTGATTTATGATTTTTTTTTGTAGACCTGATAATGTGTTACTTGATGGAGAAGGACATATTCGTTTAGCTGATTTTGGTGAGAGATGAAAATTTGTTTTGTTTTGTTTTCATTTTATGATTAAATATAAATTAATAATTTTAGGTTCCTGTTTGCGAATGCGATCTGATGGAACAGTACAAAGCAATGTTGCTGTTGGTACACCTGATTATATTTCACCTGAAATTTTACGTGCAATGGAAGCAGGTCAAGGTCGTTATGGACCTGAATGTGATTGGTGGAGTTTAGGATGTGCTATGTGGGAAATGTTATTTGGTTTACCACCATTTTATGCTGAAAGTCTTCTTGAAACTTATGGAAAAATAATGATGCATGTACAAAAAGAGGTTTGTTTTAATGAATGATTTTATTATTATTACTTTTGATTTGATTTTATTTTTTATATAGCTTTCACTTCCATTTCCAAGTGATATTGAAGTATCGGATAGTGCAAAAGATTTATTACAACATCTTCTTTGTTCAATTGATAATCGTCTAGGAAAAAATGGATTAGATGATTTTAAAAATCATCCATTTTTTGTTTCGATTAATTGGGAAAATCTTCGACAAGGTTTTTTTCTTTATTGAGAAATAAACTTAAAGATATTAAAAATATTGTTTATTTTATTTTTTTGTGTTATAGCTACAGCTCCATATATTCCTGTTGTGAACAGTCCGAGTGATACATCCAATTTTGATGTTGATGATATTGAACCATCTAATAAAGTATGTTCAAAGATTTGTATTTCTATTTAATTATTTTTGCTCTTTATTTTGTTCGTACAGAATGTTAAAAAGGTAACATTTATAGAGAATTTGAATTTTGTGTGTGTGCGTCTGTATATCTATGGCATTCCTTTGTGCTTATTTGTTTTTCTTGAATTTTATAATTAATTGATTTGTCTGATAATAGGATGTTGTTCCACCTGTTTCTCATGCAGCATTCACTGGACATCATTTACCTTTCATTGGTTTTACTCATTCGGCTAATAAGTAAGTCAAAAGAATGTTATAAAAAAAAGAAAAAGGACTCGTTTTACTATAATTTTGACGAGGAGATAATCCTTTTTTTGAAAAATTCTTTTTGTATTAAATATAAATGTTTTGTTTTGTTTTGTTTTCTTTCTAGTCGTTATTCTGATGGTGCTAAAACAATATCAATCCTACCGAATACAACAGTAATTGTTACAACTTCACCATCTGATATTTGTGATTCAACAACATCTCCAATAAATAATGAAAATTTCGAATATGAAGAAATAATAAATTCAATGAAACTTCAACAAACATCATTACTTGATGAATTAAAACGTTTACGTGAAGTATATGAACAAACTAAATCAGATTCACTTGATCAAAGTCGTCAAATAAAAACACTTGAAGATTTTTATACAAATCAATATGAATTATCTATGAATGAACAAATACAATATTTAATTAAAATTTTAAATTTATTTCATAATCTTCGTGGTTTAAATGAAAATTTTAATGAAGAAAATTCTATGTCAGTAGATGATATTAAAAATCAATTAAATCAACATTTAATTTATTTTTCAACAATTGATAAAACATATTTATTAAATAATATTAATAATAATAATGATTATCATCATCATCATCATCAAATTGATGATAAACCATTAATATCAAAACCACACTTAAATAATTTTTCATTATTTTTAACAAAATTTGAACAAAAATTTTTTAATTTATTTAATAATAATCTTTTAAATGAATTAGATGAAACAATTGAAAATGAAAATGATGATGAATTAGATTTAATAACAAATGAAGATTTATTATTAAAAAAATTTTCTTCATTTTTAAATGATATTTATGAAAAAATTAAAATTATTTTACGAGATAAAAATGAACTTGATGAAAAATTAATTTTCTTAGAAGAAAAACGTTTAACTTATTCACGTTGGGAAACACAAATGTATGATATACTTAAATGGATTAATGAAGAAAAATCTGCTAGATCACATTTAAAAGGATTAGCTAATAAAATGGCTGAAGAACTTGATCAAATACGTGAAACAACAAGTCCTTTATTAACTATTGGAAGTACTACATCATCATTAACTACAGCAGGAACAAGTCTTGCACATAATACAGTTAGTCAAATTTTTACTTTTCGAAGAAAAACATAGTCAAGGTTTTGCACTTCTCTCTGTCTCTTACATAAACAACGGTGATTAAAGGTCAAGGGTTGATGCCTATGTTTTTGCTCGCAGCGGGAAGAGGAAACGCTAACTATCATTAGGTATGTAATTCTAACCGTTAGACTTCTACATCTCAGAAGTTCTTACAATGGAACATTTCCAAGTGATCCGCTCTATTGCTAATATATTCGGGATCACTAGAGTAGAGTAACTTCCAAGAGTTTTCTGCTCTTACTTAGATTTGGCCGAGATAACAACTTAACAATCACAGGTGAGCGAAGTTTTTTTGAGATTAAAGCTAACAAAATTGTATCTGCAAAGTGCCATAAGTGAAAATCATATGGATGCACTAACTATGATGTATATGCGTTCCATCATTCACATTGATATCGAACAAGTCATCAAGCACTTTTCAAAAACGAAAAAAAAAATTGAAAAACTAGAATTTCTTGTATGATTTGTTTCATAGTTATTTTTCTCTTCATAGATCGCAGCATAAATTTGAACAATTGATAAATAGAAAATGTTATAAAAATCATCAATAACTTGTTCCGCTCCTTTCAAAGTTTCTTAGATCCACTGCTTCACTGAACGGCATTAAGAACAAGACTTAGACTATACTAGAATATTTCCAGTCTTCCTTGAAATTTAACTGGCTGAAATATATTTGTCAATATTCTAAATAGGGGAGTTTTTGATTTTTATGCAGATAAAAAAATTGATATCAAGGATGATGTATTGATTTACCATAATTATTATATGATCCAAATAAAAAGCATGAATAGATTAAGTTATAACTTTGTAAAATAATGAATATTAGTGCATTGAGGCCTGCTGTAGATGTAATGAATATGTACAAGAGGTTTATTTACCAGTTGCATCAATCATTAGAATAATAATAATAATTTTAAATTAAGAAAAACAACTATAGTCTGTTAGAGATTTTTCACTTGATCTATTTCATATTAGAATAATGAGGTTAAAGAACACATGTGAATTCTAAGTTTATGTCCTCAATGAGGTTGTACTGACATGTTTTGTTTTCATTTGGAAAACAAATCAATATGAAAGAGACTTATTCATCAAAAATACGGAATAATAATCATATTATTGATTCTCTGTAAACATTTTTAAAATATTAGATAAAAACTCAAAATCAATGAAATATTGTTTGAATAAAATAAAAAAGAATGAACAAGATGATCCAATAATAAGAAAATAGAAGTTTTTTTTTTGATTTCCTCTTTATACATGGTCAGTTACACCTCATATTCATACCATATATACTAGGTGATACTAATAAAATATATAGCATATGATTAGTCTTTGGGTATAATAATTTGTTCAAAAACATACAAATAAATCTTACTGATCGTATATGATTGTAAGAGAAATTCAATGTTTTTCAAGTTCGATAGTTTTGTCTATTTATCCCAATCTGTAAAATGAATCTAATTTACTACATCGAATTTCTCTCACACTCACATATGATCAGTAATATGTATATGTATGCTTTTGAAGAAATTACCACATCCAAAGACTAATCATATACTATATCTTTTTCTAGTATTACCTAGTATATGAGATCTAACTGACCATGTACAAAGAAGAAATACGATGTTTTCTTACTTTTTGTTCACTCTATATAAATACTGACTAAAGGTAGAAGAAGAAGAAGCATATGTACAATGTTTCTGTTTATGACCAATAGTACAAATAATCGTTGACAAAAAAACCACTTAAGTTGGTCTCTTCTTGTTCATAATCATCATCAGCAATATTCAAGAACGGAGAAATAGAAATTTCTGAGTTGTTGAGGAACTCTGAACAAAACTATGATGATTTCTCTGAGAAACGAGAATCAACTATTAATTCTATCAGAGTTCCTCCATTCATAAAAATCAAAGTGATTCTTTTTTTGTCATAGTTTTCATATTCACAAATTTCTTGGTGGAGATAGATGTGAGAGCAAAAAATCTCATAGATCTTGTCTTATTTTTTTACTTTAGCAATTATGGAATTATGTGGATAATCGAGCAAGAATTCTCAGTTCTTGAACATCCCTTGTTGGTTAGATGTCGTCTGTCTATCTTTTGTGAACCATTAGAACTAGTTTCGATCGCTATTCATATTATTATATGTAGTCTATATTATAATGATAACTGATGACTATAGACACAACTATTACAAATATCATGCCGATTGGGACATCGGTTCTCAAAGATTTGCAGATTGAAAATAAATTTTATTATAGGCTTGGAAACATGGTCGATCAGTTAAATTAAAACATATGGAAATTCAACAATTACAAACTTCATTACAAAAAGAAATTGATGCTAAGCAACGAATACAAGAAGAACTTAAAGAATGTCAAGCTGAAAATATTCTTAAAGCTGAGTATGTTGAAATTTTATATATATATATATATTCAATTTAATAAATATTTGTTTTTTTTTTTTAATAGAGAAAATCTTCATTTAAAAGAAGAAATTGAAAAACTTCAAAAACAATTAACTTCTGAACAATCAAAACAATTAACTAAATCACCTGTTGTTCCATGTGTGTCAGGTAAAATTTATTAAATAAATTTTTGAGAAAATATTTTCTGAAATCTTTTTATTCTTCTATTAGATGAAATATCAACATTTATTAATAATACTTCAATCGATCGATTTCTTCGAAATGTTACTGCTGGATTATCTGATCCACCAGCATTAGTAAATAAATTTTATTTTTATTTTTATTTTTATTTTTTTTAATTATAGTTAAATGATACAAATAATGATTTATCTGCAACATTCGATGATGGAAGTAGTGGTGGTGATGATTCATCACGAACAATGTCCGGATCAATTAATAAAAATCAAACAATACGACCATTAGTTCCACTTCGTGTAATTTTTAATTGTTTATTTTATCTTCCTTTTGAATTTCGAGTTCATTTTTTTATCCTTAGATATTGACTTTAGGTAGGAGATTATGGAAGCTTTTCCTTTCTAAAAATTTCGAATTTTCGACAAAATTTTTCATAATTGTGTAAGAATAAGGAGGAAGTTTCGACTCTGATTCTGACATGTATTTATACGAAGATGCTTTCCCTCAGACAAAATATTACAGAAAGTCGATGATTTCAGCTTCTCTTGTTCTCAAAAAACAATTAGGAATCCTGGCGAGGAGATGAATATTCAATTTCAGTGTGATATTTATATGATACTCAATGCAATGATTACGAGCACTGAGAAAAGAGAAGTATTGTTTGTTTCTTTTTGGTAATCATGCCTAAAAAAAACATTGACTAAAGTACTACGAAAGGTTAAATAACAATATCTTAGAACTCTTTGAGAATTATGGTCTTATTATCGACGTTAATCACTCTCAATAGTTCTAACATTTCTCTCTCTAATAAAACACTAATTAGAAAATTATTAATATTAAAATTTAATCATGAATAAAGTAAAAATATTTATGTTACTATGTACTTAAAGCTCTAATATGATAAATCGATCTTAATTTATTGATAGATAAACGAAGAAATCAGCTTCATCGTTTCGATTGTAATGAATATAATGCGGTTCACTCAACAAAGCACAATTAATAGACTATTGATAGATATGTACATATATGGATGACCATGAACAAATGAGAAAATGAAAATAGATAGCAACATGGAAAGTTGTTTATGACACTGCTAACGTTTCTGATTAGATCCTTCGAATCTTATTGAGAATTTTTTTGAGACTTGAGATGTTCGTTACGTACTCTTTAGATTAACTTCTATGTAATAACTATTGACTCAATTGAAAGAACATAGTTAAAAAGTAGATTTATTTTCTTTTTTAGAATGAATTACATGATTTTATGATAGCAAATTTCCATGTAACAGCTATGTGTGATGATTGTCAAAATGCATTAATTGGTATTGTTCGACAAGGTTTTGTTTGTCAACGTAAGAAAATAAAAATATATAATTTTTTGTTTTTTGCTTAAAAATGAAAATAAATTTTAGGTTGTAAATTAATTTGTCATCCAGATTGTATGGAGAAAGTCTCTACACCATGTCGACCATCAATTAAAGATCGAAGTAAAAAAAAGATTTTTTTTGTTTTGTTTTCTTGTAAAGATTTTCTTCGATTATATTTTCTTCAGGTCGAACAATTTTACTTGATCAACATATTGTTCGCGTATGTTTGATGTAATTGTTTTTGAAAATTTTTAATATAATTTTATATTTTTTCTATAGATTCCAAAAGCAGGTGGTATTAAAAAAGGTTGGAGTAAATATCAATTATTAAATTTACAAACAAAATTATTATTCTACGAATTATCATCTGATAAAGATCAAAAAATAACTTGGCCACAACCAGCATTTATAATTGATCTTACAGATGATGAATTTATTGTATCTTCTGTAATATCATCTGATGCATATCATGCAAATAAAAAAGATGTTTCAAGCATATTTAAAGTTTGTTTTATTTTATTATTTTTTTTTTTTTTTATTTTCTTTTTAAATCATTTAGATTAGTATATTAAAATTATCATCACCAAAACAATTTCAACATACATTAGTTTTAACAAATAATGAATCAGAAAAAAATCAATATGTTAATATGTTATCAGATCTTTCATCTAAAGTTAAAACTCTTAAACAAAATAGTTCTACTGTAAGAAATAGAATATATTGTATTATTTTAACTTTATAATAAATATTTATATATTTTAGCGTGGAGCTAATTTTATTGCTAAAGAATTATTTGATACATCGAAATGTTCAAGTTTAAAAGAAACAACAGCTGCTATTATTCTTGGTATTTAACTAAAAACTAATTTGTAAATTATTTTTCTTATTTACTCGTCGGGTTTTTTTTTTTAGATCAAGATCGTGTAATAGCCTGTGGTGAAGATGGTCTTTATTTACTCGATATTTCAAAAGATAGTACGTAGATTAATCATTTTATTAACCTTCAATAATATTTTATGAAACACGATTGAAAAACAAGTATTGAAATATAGAAGTAAAAACTTGGACCCCATACAGGTCGTAGCAGAAGTTAGCCAGAGACCATGATGGACATCTTAACAATATTCCTGTGTGTATGAACTGCTTCTTTATTGCATTTTTGAAGGATTAAGTGAAAGGATATTGAAGAAATGTGTCTTAGAATAGATAGAATAAAGCAATCTTCATGTGATGAACAAGAATAGTTACATTGTGTTTCACATTTTACTCTCATAGAGATTGCATTAACAACTGTTTTTTTAATTTTAGCATCAATGAAATTAAGTGATAAAAGAGTTCATCAATTATCTTTAATTTCAAATGGTGAATTATTAGTAACTCTAGCTGGAAAACAACGTACAATACGTCTTCAATCACTTAAATCTTTACTTGAACATCCATTATCATCATTAGATAGTAAAATAATTGAAACAAAAAATGCTACAACATTTTCAGTACATTCAATATCATTAATTTTATGTGTTGCTATTAAAAATCGTATACTTGTTTATCAATTATTTTCAACACCAAAACCATATCATTATTCATTTATAAAAGAATTTAATATTATACAAAATGTTACATATTTAGAAATTTCAACAATTAATATAAATCAATCTGAACAACAAATTTTATGGTATGGATATCCATCAGCATTTGTTGCACAAAGACTTGATCAACAATGTTCAAGTGTATCATTATTAAGAGATGAAGATCCAACATTACAATTTTTTCGAGATAGACCTATTGAAGCATTACGTGTTGTACCTGTTACAAGTAAGTTATAAATTATCATTTATAAGAAATTTTATATTAATTCAATAAAAAAAACATCATGCTTAATATGTTGAGATAAGATTTAAAATGAAAGTTTATAAAAATCAAGATTCAAAAGAAAATATTACCTGCAAAGGAACATATCCAATTGTAGGATACCGTTCGATATCATATTATGGCTACAAATAGGTTCCTGCAAGAATAATAAAAGTTTTAAAAGATTCAAGTCCATGGCCTACTGATGAAGAGTTCTGCTCGTTTTAGTGAAATATTTATTTACAGCAAAACATTTTTTTTGAAAAACTCAAAACAGAGAGTTTTGATCTGAAGTTTTATCTATAGACAAATTTAATAGTCCTAAAATTTTCAATGAAAATGAACATGTCTTTCTTGAGATACTTAATTTCTAAATAGATGCGAATACTATGTCCTCTTATAGTAAACTGTTATTATTTATTGAAATTAAATATTTCAAGAAAGATCTATTGTTTTTTGTTGAAATTTTCAGAACTTTTTAATTTGTCTATTGACAAAATTTCATTTCAACAATCATAAATTTTCATTAGTAGGCTATGAAGTCAAATGACATTCAATATTTAGTTGTATTTCATCGTAAGAAAATATCTTAGTCTTTGACGAAAATCGAATATCTTAGAACTTATTAGTTGTAAATTTTAAGTAACCAATATTTTCTTGCGTATTCTATTCATTAAAATTCACGAAGAATTTTCGTGTTTCAATAATTCAAATAACAAGAAATTTTCAAATATGATACTCTGATATTATAAGTAAACAGCGATAAGTCTTTCCAGAATCGAATCGACGGATGAACAAAAATACAAAAGAAAAGCTAACAGTGATTTACATACAACACTTTCCTTGAAAAGAATCAACATCTTCTGTCATCATGAAATCATATATATATACATGTATATACAGACGATGACATACGATGATTAAAAAAGAAAAGAATGGGGTTTGGATTGACACTTTCTAATCAAGAGATGATTTTTCGTAAGACTATAATAAATTCAAGAGTATATTAAAGAAATAAATCTTCTTTATCGAATATACAAGTGTTTTGATAAATGTACAGATTGAACTATGATCAAACAAAATTTTTAATTTCATATAACAAAAAAAAAAAATTCATATCTTTTCTTTTTCTTTTTAGATTCTTCGTCAATTAATGAACTTTTACTTGTATTTCGTGAATTAGGAATTTATGTAAGTTGTTCAACAGGAATGCGAACACGTCATAGAGAATTAATGTGGACAGCATCACCAATATCAACTGCTTTTTCTGATCCATATTTACTTATATATACTGAAAAATCAGTTGATATATATGATGTTCCATCAGCAACATGGTTACAATCATTACCATTATCACGAACACGTTCATTAACACCCGATGGTTGTATTTGTTTATCTCATGATTCCGAACTTCTTAATCATCATTCAAAATTACTTTATTTAATACAAAAAACAAATTTAAATCCATTACTTAATGTTCCTGAACGTGCATCATCAAAAAGTTTAGCAACACGTGGTGGAAGATTTCGTGTTGGTGGTAGTGTTGTTGGTACAATAAAATCAACAACATCATCATCAATTGCACCTATATCAGGACCGAAAGATTTTACACATATATCACATTTAGGTAAAGGTGAAGGTTTACAAATAATATCAGGTTTAAAACAAGTTAGTCCAACAAGTACACTTTCATCAATAAATCATAGTAGTAGTGGTTCAACATTAAATACTACTAATCGACGTTCACTTATTTCTGGTCCACAAAATTTTGTTCATTTAACGTATGTTTGATTATTTTTTATATTATTTGTTGTTGTTTTTTGTGAAACTCACATCTATTTTCGAAGACAATAGTTGAGTGTAAGTTTAAATCTAGAGTTTTGTAGCTTTTGTTGTCAAGCTCTAGCAACGAAAAAAGGTGTGTCAATAATAACAGTACTTAGACCATTTTTGAAACTTTTTAGAATTTATCATGAAAGAATCTTATTGTAGATGTCAATCAGTAAAGCAGTAGTATTATTAATCTAACATAGTCACGATGAGACTGGGTTGTCTCGTGCTCCTGCTTACGCTCTTCTCACGCCTCTTTCTTTTCTTGTTCAGTGAATACGTTCAAAAGTGTGAAATCGTTTCTTCGATGTTCTTTCAGCACGAATAGAATCATGAGAAAGCGCAACATGTACTCCATGGAGATTTGCGAGCATGCGTTAGAATGCGAGATAGTCCTTCGTTTATTTCTGAGATGAAAATAGAAAAGTATGAACTAATTAAATTCTACGGCTAGATAAAACTCAATAATATATGTTAAAAGTTCATCAAGAAGAAACGATGTTGTACCTGGAAGTTTAGTAAACAATTAAATCAATTTGTATAGTTGGCTAATATTGTAGTTAAACCGATGAAATGAAGAATAAAATAATAGTTGCCGCTTCCTAAGGCATATATCATATGTTATTATCATTAGGAGAAAAGAAGTTATCTATTGAAGATGTATATAACAGTAGAAAGAAATTCTTCCAGTATAATGAACTAATAAATTGATAGAATAGAAATTCTAAATGCAAATATTTTGGAAATAAAATTTCAGAGTGCGCGTATGAACTATAAAAATTATTATAATTTTGATTAGAAAAGGTTCTATAGATCAGTTGGTCTCTCATTATTTATGATTATGTTCTAACTATCCACGCTATTAGTTTCATCGAAGTCTATAAATCTTTACTAGAACGATAGTTATTTTACTGTGCCTATTTGCGGGGCGAAAAACTCCTCTGATGCACTTTGTAGACCATAACTCGATGATACTTCAAAAAATCAAGTACAAACTTTTAGGAAAACTTTGCCTACAAATTTCAGAAGAGAACCTTCTTCTAAAGGAACACAGCATACCAATAATTACCGTGTTGGTACCGAGGACTCAATGACATTTAGAGACAGCAAGTTACATGATCTTTTAAGTGACGAAAGACTATATAGTGGGCTGCGGTTGCAAATAAAAATATTAAGAATTAATCATGTATTTAATAAAAAAAGTAACGCAAAATGTAATAGACAGCCTTTTTCAAGTTAAAAAGCTTGAAGCAAAAATAGGTACCATCCATCGTAAGTCTCGTTGAATTTAAGCTATTGTGACAATCTCGTGCTTCTGACCTACATACATTCTTCATAGAATATGTGTACACAAATTTCCAGACCTTCTGCATGTATGGAAGCCGAGGGAGGGCGGATTTTTGTTCACGATTGTATCATAAATTTATAGTAGTCAAAGTTTATGAGTTTCACACGTTGATCTCTCTCATGGGATAGCACTGACAAGTTTTTAATAAAAATTAATTTTTTTTTAAAGACATATTGGTCCATCAGATATTTCAACATTTGCATCGGATTTATCAACAACGAATACAACAACAAATAAAGCTGTTATATCAGCACCAATGAATTTTCGTCATCAAGTACATATTGGACATAATGATGAAATCGATCAATTAAATAACAATAATAATAATAATAATAATAATAATAATACTAGAAAAGGCGTTATATATGAACAACAAACGAACAGTGTCCTACTTAAACAACAACAACAAGTGACTAGTAGTGGTAATTCAACATTATCATCTCAATCTCTTTCATTTAAAGATGAAGATGATAGTGATCAACCTCTTGAATGATGAGCTTATATCGAGAATGATAGAGACAAGAGGATTTCTATTTGTTCCTTTTTCTCTTGTCGGTCAGATTCATTCATTGCAAATTAATGAACTTCTTTTTTTCTTCTTCTACTTCATCTTTTTTTTTTGTATTATCTTATTTGGCGTGCAATTTTTTACTTCTTTTTTCTTTTTTTTGCTGTGTGGTGACCCATTTTTTGGTGCCTTTTTCTATTTCTCTACGCACACATATATGATACTGAATTTCTTTTTTTTTCCGTTGCACCTGTTATCATCTTCTTTTCTTATTATTATTATGGCTGAATCTGTACTGAGTGCATGAACGAATGTATGAGAAAAGTCGTTATTGACTTTTTTCTTTTTGTTCTTACTTTTTTTTTTTTCTCAAGCAATTATCTTCTGCTAAATATGTGCTTGTTATCGATTCAATCATTAATGCTAAATGTACAGACATTTAAAATTTATATAGTTTCATTAAAAGTTGAAAATCATGAATATTGTTGAAATTTCGTTAATCGAAAGATTATTTTAGAATGTCATTATTAATTAATCAATAGAAGATTACATCTAGAAATGTCAAGAATAAAAACATGCTGATCATATCAAATTTTATGATAGATAGATAAATGTCAAGGTCGATTGTGTTAGAGTTTTGATAAAAAGTCATATTGTCAAGACACAACAATCATTATTATCAGATTTGTTTTCGATAAAAAATAACTAGAACATTTTTTTAATGATGTGTTTTACTTTTGAAAGATGTTCACAATAATTTTATAATTCCGAGAATGCCAAATATGGAAAATCAAAGTAGAATTTTTTTATATAGTTACATAGAGTTTGACGAGTTCATATGTGTTCGTACTTTTTGTAAATGAATTTCTAGGAAAAAAATGACTGTTTTATTTCGACGATCTACTTTTTCTAAAAAGACGTTAATTTTTGATACGTGTCAAATTGTCAATTTATCTGTGATCGAAAAATGATCTCTTTTTCAGAAAAAACAGGTCATCCAAAAAAAAACCGAAATTTTTTTCATCTACAAACTCATTTCAAAAAAAATGAAAACACATATGAACTTAATTAACTCGTCATACTCTATCTAACCATTAAAAAAAAACGACAAATCTGCTTTAATTTTACATTTCCGGTACGTTATATATAAAGTTGTGATATGTCAGATTTTATAAGAAATGCTATTCTTTCCATATAGATTTTTACATGAATTAAATCTATCGAAGAAATAAACAATTTTAATTCTTAGAAAACTATATTTTTGAAAGTTTGTTTGATAATAAACATATAGAATATTTTTTTAATATGAATAAAGAAAGACTGCACCATATACCAAAAAAACAGGAAAATCGAAGTATTTCCAGTAGAAATGCTTCATTTTTTCTCGACAAATTCAAGGAAATAAACTTTCTTAATACAATAGCAAATATGGTTTATGCTCATTGACGTTATAGAAAATACATCATCCGCAAAAAAAATGAAGTCTTCAAAGGTTTCTACGTTAGGAAATAGTTATTTCAATGATAGAAGCTGATATTCATCATTTTTCTTTTCTTCCCTTAAGTAGGATGTTTAGTTGAAATGAATTTTCTTCAGGAAATATCTAATATTTTTCAGAAAAAATACTTTATTCATTTCTACATTTCCAGAGGGATATGAAAAAGATTTAAGCAAATTTTTTTCATTTTTTTCTTTTTGCCCAAAACAGATTTTCTAGCAGAAATGAATTAAAACATTTCTCTTTAAAAATAATGCTTTTTACTTGAATCAAATGATAATTGTATGTTTATATTCTTTCTTTTCATTTTTTCTTTGAATGTATAACTTTATGTGAGATGAAGCATTTTTCCATTAATCTTTAATATCTTTCTCTTGACTGATTCTATTGTCCGCTGCTATTGACCTATTTATCATCAGGATGTACACGTGATGAACAAACGTGCATGTTAAACAGAGACATTCACGTTCATTTAATAAGACTTCATTGAATGTTCACGTGAACGACAATATTAAATCTTTCATTCGAATAACATATTACCCGATATCATTACTTTGTATCGAATATAAATTTAAATATCGTTTTTTCTTAATTCTAGAGAGTTGTATTGAGTCCAGAAAATTTTTCTGGATTCGATCAAAGACTTATGAACTAATTCATCATCTCGAATACTGATGCATTATTCAAACATGCGTTTTGTAGTGAAATGATTGCTCTTTCAGTCTATAGAAGTAGAAATACATCATAGACCTTTATAGTAGAAAATTTTCAAAGAAAAAAGCTCGGATCCAGATTTGTCAGGTCTGGTCGGATATAAGTCTGGGTACGGTTTTATTTTTGGCTACAAACGAGTATTCTTTATTTATGAGTATACACATTGAAATAGCAAATATTTCTTTCCAACACACATCAAGAGCTAAATAATGCATTAGTATTAAGTATAATGGAATGGCTCATAATTCTTTGGTTGAATTCAAAAAAACTTTCTAGACTCTATGTAATTCTTCTACTTAAATCTATGATGAGGAAAATTACAAACAATGTCACTTAAAATAGGACTTATTTGTTGTAAATTTAGTTTTTATTTGAAAAAGAATATTGAATTTTTGATAAATAGATATTTAATTAATTATAAGACTAAAAATACACCGAAACACATATTTAATGAAGAAAAAAAATGTATAATTTGCTCATAAATAATATTTCAGCAAAATAATCATATAAAGTTTGATTTTCCATTTACTTCTATTGAATCTATTAGAGAATAATTCGATTAATAGAACTATAAATAGAAAAAATCCATTTCAATCTATCTGACTAACTAAATTAACAATGAATGATATTGAAAATATAACCTTTATTTAATCTACAAAACTTATAATTTCATAAATATAAATTTAATTATTATATTTAAAATCAAAGACCAATTGTTTCTTGTAATAATGGTGTTGTAACTGATGATATTTTCGAAGGTTGTTGTACATGACTATAAATATGAAATGGTGAATCACATAATTTAACTATATGTGTTGAAGAATTAATTGATGTTGAATGAATTAATGATGATGTTGTTTCAGAATTTAATAATAAAGTATTTCGTAAATTATCATTTTCAATTATTTTTCGTTGTTGAATTTTGTCATATTTTTTTATTCTTTGATTATTTAGTATATATTGAGAATTTCCACTATATTTTCTTATTTTTTGTTGTAATAATTGTTCATTTGTTATTGTTCGACAACAATATATATTTATACATTCAGTACGAAATAATTGTCCAAATACACAAAATGGTAAAAAATTTGTTGCTGCATTTATAATTGCAATTAAATTTGCTATATTATGAAAACGTCTTACAATTGAACTTGATGTTGAATCAAAAAATTTTTTTATTGTTAATTCAAATGACCATAAAACCCAAAGAACAATTGTTGGACTTCGACATATAAGTAATGTTAATACCATAGCAATAATAATAATTGTTATAGAATATTTTGATTGAAAAGAATGTTTAGAACGATGATTTATTACATTTTTATGATGTTTTTTTAAAAGTTTTGTACGAGATTTAACACGATGTAAAGCACGAATTAATTGTAAATTAAAACAAACAATTGTTATTGTTGGTATTATATAAACAAATATACAATTAAAAAACATATAAGACCAACGAAAAATTCTTCGTTTAGCTAAATCACTATAACCTTTTCTAATAAGCATACTTGTTTGTTGAATATTTTCATTTAATAATGATAATGATTCATTATTAAAATCAATCATAGCATAAACATTTGGCATTTGAACAACTTCATATTCAAAAAATAATGGAATTGAATAAAGAAATGCTATGATAAATAATGTTCGTGAAATAATTTTTGCTCGATATAATGTACAAAATGTTTTACCATAAATTGGATAACAAATTAATATCCAACGATCCATTGTTACTGCTGTTGATATCCATAATGATAATACACGACTACCAGCAGCTAATCCACCAAAAATAATATCAATATATAGAAAAAATATTATTATTGATGTAGTTCGACGAGTTAGAACAATAAATTCAATCATATGTGTCATCATTATTGATACACATGTAATCATATCTGATAAAGATAAACCAGTTAAATAAACAAATGTTGATGATTGAGTACTTAAACGACGTAAAACAATAACCGACATTAAATTACTTATTGAACCAAAAATAGCAAATATAAAACTTGCAATTAATATCCAATAAGAAACATGATCTGATGTTGACTTATTGATATTATGCCAAATATCATCAATTTCATGTTGAGCTATTGTTAAATTATCTGATGTTGATAAATTATTCATCTAAAATTCAAAAAAAAAAAAAAATTCATCATAGTTTAGAAAATCAACAATAAAACAAATGATCTTCTTTTGCTAAGAACATATTTTTCTTTCTTTATTATCTTAGATTATAAAGGAGAAAAGTCATATTCAATTTTCTAGGATAATACGATCATATCTTCTCTTATCTGATTTTAATCGATGATCATACAATAATGATTACATATTAATATTACAATATCGTAAACAAAATACTTATCTCATCCCAAAAGATATTCATAGCAAAAATTGATTTAGTTTCAGTTGTAGTTAAACGTTCATTCTTATGTTTGCTACCTTTGTTTAGTTGAAGGACAACACTTACAATGTTGAACTCAAGCTTAGTTTAAAATTATAATCATAAGAAACAACAGTAACTTAATATCGGTAATTTTTCCTTTGATTCTACAGATATAAATTTTTCTTGACATTTAATATATAAAAAAAAAAAAAAGTAAGAAAGGTGTTGGTTTATATTCATCATATGACGTTACTTCCTTTAATTATGCACTCAATCATAAACAAAATTATTTTCCATTTGAAAGGACAAAAGACATAGTTCTATGTTTATGGGAGTCATTTTCTTTCTATATAGATTACAAAGAGCTTAAGCTTATAGAAAAAAAAAAATAAATTCTAGGATTTATTTATAGACAACTTAGTTCTATAACAAAATATCATGATTTTTTAATATGTGATAAAATAAAAAACATCAAGAAATTAAAAATAAAAATAAATTAGAATGAAGTATAATAGAATATTTAGTTATAAATATCATAGATATTTAATATTTCTAATGAAAAGATGAATTTAATTCATGTTTTAAATGTTAAGGTCATCATAACTTCTCATCTGAATATATTCTATAAATATTATTTCATCTTTTTGATAAAAATATATATTCCTATTTAAAATTCTAACGATTAAGCAGTTGTTCCAAGATTTTTCAACGCAATTAGTCAATGTGACTTTTGATGATTACAAAAAGAAAAACTACTTCAATTATTTTTTCAAATACTACTTACTACATATTTATAACTAAAGTCACAAAAAAAAAATAGTCATGTTTTATTCCAGTTTAATTATGTTTAGTTTTGTTTCTTGATATTTAACTCTTTTACATCTATTTTATTAGTCGATAATATTACACATATATTCTCTATTGGAATTTTATTATATTGAAAGAACTAAACACATCAATATATATATATATATATATTCTAATATGCTGAAGGCCCATATTTTAATTCTAATGTAATAAAGTCTTCAAGATATTAAGAAAAAAAAAATGCGGAGGTTTTTGAGCTAAAAATAATTACATATATGAAATAACATGATCATTTGCATCAGTAACTAATCTCAAATATTTGGTATTACAGATAGTGCATAACTAGAAGCTATCATTAGTAAGCAAAATTAATCTTTTAGTCACGTTGATCTTTTTTCTTAAAGTAACAACTAATAATGAGTTGGAATTCATGTTTTATAATCAGATAAAGAAAAACGATGTATAAATGGATATAGAAAATAGTCTATTATCTATGAAATACTTATCATATCGAATATTTATCGGACTAATATATTTTGTAGTTATAACGAAGTAATTATATTTTTCTCACAATAACCATAAGACTAAACAATCGAGGTGCGTCATTTGTTTTTTTTTTCTGTTTTCTTTCTAGTGATTATAATTATTATCTATCCCGGAAGTAACATTTTGTCTTTTCTTTCTCTGCAGTCAGTTTTTTCTTTCTAGTGTTGATGATGGCAATTGTTTTTCATCGTTACTAATGAGCTCCTTATTACTATCGCTCTTTATGATTAACTTTTTTTTTAACCTGTAGAATATCCTCGTTTTCTTTTTCTTTTTATTAAAAACCGGAAAAAAAAGGTAATCTCGACAAGAATTAATAGAGTCGAAACAACGACGCAATAACAATAATTCAAAGTATTCATTATGCATCTTACCAGAACTGAAATATCAAGAGGAAAAAAAAATGTAGGAGTTAACTTTTAATGGTCACGTGATTATCATAATTACTATCATTAATTATGTACAGGAGAAATATAGAATAAAATTCAAGTTAATTATTATTGAAATATTGAACAGTATAGATTTGTATCAATACAAAAAAAAAAGAAGTGTAATGTAACTGATATGATGAATACGACATATTTATACAGGAAGAAAATGTTTTCTTATAAAAATGAAAAAACAAACCCAGACTGGAACGTGCAAAGAATACAGAATATGACCTATAATAAAAAGAAAAAACAGAGTGTGACATGCACAAAACATTTTTTGCGATGAGATTGTGATAATTTAATAAATTTATTATGATTATAGTTTTTTTTGTGTTTATATGTTTTTTTTCTTCAATGTCTATGAAATACGATCTACAATGGATATTAAAATATACAGAATGTCTTTGACTTTCTCTTCCGGGGGATTTAAATAAAAAATAATATAAATTATTGATGTTATGAAAGCTTTTAAGTTAATTTCAAATTTATTTGTCAACCTATAGAACACATATAGTGAGAATATTTTTCTTGATGGTATGTCAAAGGCACGAGTTTAAATGACGCCTGTCGTTATGTATATATTATTAATAATAAGAAAACAAGCAGGTGTCGTTTTATGCAAATGATCTCTCAATCTACTCCATATTGATTCAATTAATTTAAAGGGCATATATTTTTTTTCTTCTCTTCGTTTTATTCTATTTTAAAAATTATTTTCACAAAAAATATTTTATTAAAAAAAAAAGAAAAAAAAAAAAATTTACATTAAAAATAGATTTAAACTCAGTAGAGATTTAAGATAAAAAAGATAAACGAAAATAAGCCATTTTTCGAAGACGTTAATAAAAAGAGATTAATATAACGTCATTAGTCGTGATAGTATACAGCATTATACAAATATATCTGGAAAAACAAAGAGAACGTTGATATTTTCTGATCATCTCTTCGTGCTATATCGATGTTATTTTGGTGGTATCTTTGTCATTTTGTATGATGATGAGAACATAGATCATTCTGTACCGTTCTGCTTGCACTATTATTGTCAAGGACATGTTATGGATATTTAAAGGTTTTTTTTTCTCTTATTGAAATTTTAATGATTGTAAGGATAATTGGCCGATTGTTCAATAAAGATTTTGTCATTTTAATACTGTCCGATTATAATAATTGCTTTCTTTTGCAATTAATTGATATGCTTATTTTTGTTATGTATTCATTTGGAATTCTCTATATGTAATACCTTCAGTATTATTATTAAAAATAATAATATTGCTATTCTTTCAGCTGTTACTGCTTTATTATTTATTATATCTATTACTCTTATATTGTTTAAAAAAAAAAAGTAGTATTAGCAATTGAAGATGACAAAAGCAGAATAACAAGTCATCATCAATATGGTGCAAGGTGTGGTAGTTGTTGTCGTTGTTTTTGTCTTGATATTTTTTCTGTCGATTATTGATGATTGTATTGACTGCTTTTCTCAGAAAAATCCCCAAACCGCAGGACACGTTCTTATTTGAGGAAGGAAGCAATATGGTTAGTATATTTGGAAAGAGAAAATAATATGTTCTACTCTCTTTTTTCTTTGTCTCTTTCTCCCATTCATTTCTCATGCCGATGGCACACTTGTTTGATAATGATATACCATCATCATCATCAAACAAATGCAATCTGTTAATATGAAGGTTATATTTATCTAGATCTTTCTCTGTGTATCAGACACTTACTTGTTTTATAAATTGATAGAGAATTTTATTTCTTATGATTTTGATTTATTGTTTTTGTTTTTTTTTAATTATCAGATTTTTTTTTTTTCAACAATCTTATTTTACATTGAAATGTCATTATCAACGCGAAGTTATTCAAAAGAATCTCGCTCATCATCAAATTATTCTCGTTCATCTTCATATCATACAAGTGGTAATAATAGTTATAATTCTTTATATCGTTATCGTAATTTTATTGATGATCGTCCATTAAGTACTCGTTTAATTGAACGAGATTTTTCATGTCCATCACTTGCATGGAATTGGGATTTTGATGATCCATTTTTTTTTGATCGAATTCGTTGGCGTTTTGAAAATGATTTTTTAAAATTAAAATCAGGATTAGGACGTAATATGCCTATTATTTATCAAACATGGAATAATTCATCATCAAGAATGATACCTATTCAATATACTCCATCATCAACTAATCGTCATCATCAATTATATAAAAAAACAGACAATAATGATTATCTAACATCAAATTTTTCTAAACATCATGATGAAAATTCTATGCGTAAATACTATATTTTATAATTAAATAATTAATTAATTAATTATGTATATTTTAGAACGAGAAAATCGTATTTCATCTGATGATTGGCCATCAAAACTAGGTAAATATGTGGTTCAATGCATAGTGAAATCATAGTTTTGTATTATTTATTTATTTATTTTTTCTATTGAGAACCTCCAACTCGTAAGCGAACGAGTATGACAATATATGTTCGACAACCTTGTAGGTGGTGTGATGTCGGCATGATTCTGTTTTGTTTTAACTTTAAACAACAATTCTATTATAAAAATTTATAATTTTTATATTTAGATATTGATCAAATGGATGTACCTTATTATCGTCAAACACCATTAACACCAACTTATCCACAATCAGCCAGAATGGACTATTATTAAAACAAATTCAAGAACAAAAAACAAAAAACAAACTTATTTTGTCACATCAATTCTATAGTATTTAGTATCAATAAACCTTATTGTTCTCTTCTTTTAACTTTTATTACCCATGTAAAAATCTTTTCAAGAATTACATATTGATCCTTCTTTTTGGATTGTAAAGATATCTTTTTCTTTTACTTCAAAATAGACAAGTGTCATACACTTGATTATGTCTATTCATATATTTTACCAAATAAGTATTTGATTCTTATTTATATCTAAAACGTGATTTGTCATCAAATCAATGTATTAGATTATTTTTTCGGAAGTAAATTTGCATAAATAAAATTATTCAACTGATTATATTAATGATCATAACAAATCAATATTAGAGTTACTTTGCTATAAATTTATAACAATTCGTACTCATGATTTGTTGCTATATTGTCTAATCTAACGATAGAGATAACGTAAAATTGATATTTATATGAAATTTAAATGAAACTTTTATTGAAATTTCTATCAGAATCTATGTCTTTCTAATGTATATTTCTTTTCATGATGGATGACTCGTTTCATTTATTGTACTGAGCAAAATTAAAAAGGACAAACTATTTTTAATTAATTTCAAATGCAATCATTTAATGAGTAATTATCTTATATAATAAGAAACAAATTTTTGCAGCTAAAAAAGTTGATAAATAGTTAATGTGTATAATCACAGTGATATTTGGATAATTTAATTTTTATTTTAATACTGTATATAAAAACTAAAGTATCAAAATATTACTGTGATTATACACATCAACTATTTATTAAATTCTTGGGCCACAAAAATTTGTTTCTTAAGATATTTTTAATTTTTTTTTTCTGTAACATCAGGTCCATATAAAAATAACTGATGCGAAAAATTGATTCTAAATCGATTATAATTAAAAATATCGAAATTCTATCGACTATTCTGCTTATTTTTAATTAAAATCAATTTCATAATCATAAAGAAATCGCTTATAATAACACAAAATTGATTAAAAAATAATTAGAATAATCAATGAAATTTCGGTATCTTTGATTATAGTCGATTTTTTTTTCGGTGATTTTTATATAATGTTTTTTTTTTTACATGAGGATATCTAGCTCAAATTGAGAAAGTGATTTGAATATTCGATGAAATTTTTTATCAATTTAATTTTATGCTAAGATTTTCATAGATGATTGATAAAATTTTCTAGAATCTGAAAATGATCTTTTTCCGTGTGTTAAGAAAAACTCCGCCCTTAAAATTTATCTATGAAATCTTACTCCAGAACCCATTTCATAAAAAACGTCGACGGCTATTCAAATCATTATCTGATTCTGACCTAGGTAACTGATATTATAAAAAAAGTGAGAACACCTTGTTTCTATAATTTAGTTCACTACTGTACGTCATCTAGGGAGCTGCGGGTCCTTCCAAATCCGTGTCCACATTTTTGTAAATCAGCAGCTTCCTAATGTTGTCTTAGATCCTGATATTTTAATATTTATTTCGCGAATTTTTCTATGAACTAGAAGATTTGTAGACAAATAAAATTTCAAATGCAATGTTTCTACAAAAAAAACATTTCATTAATTTTAGAGAGAAGGCTCTTGCGAATTAATATATTGACTTTTATTAGTCTCAAATTTTTTGTCAAGAACTTGTTATGATAAATGAAGTTACTTTTTTGGATTTGCGAGTAATTATCAAACTCTAAAGAGCTTCTTCAATCTGTCAGCAACATCATTAAACTATTCGATGAATAGTCGAAAAAATACGATGACCAATAAGTAATAGAGTACAAAAAAAGAAAAAGACGTAATGCTTATCGGATTTATCGATCACTTTTCTGTTATCGTTGACAACAACAAGTGAAAAGAGATTAGATCCTAAACATCACGTTTATTGTTGTCTCGCACCAATTGATTGCATGAGCCGATCGGTAAACACTATTCGCTAGTTAATCTCTGTCGTCTATTGTTATCGGACAGCTTAATACCTTTATTTTCGCTCTTTCTCTCTTACTTATTCGTCTACATTATTAAACTGCACGAATCATTCACTTTATTCATTCTAATCATGTCATCGTTGTTCTTCTATTTTGCAATATTTCTTTTAAAATTCATTCATGAACATCAAGTTTATTCAGTTCCAACATGTATCATTATTGATACAAATATGATTCAACAATCTCAAGATAAAACATCATTACCAAATAATCGTTCTTCTCCATCATCATTACTTCTTCGAAATTTACGTATGCTTGATCATCAACGATCATCGGTATTATCAGAATCTGGCATAGAATCAATACCATTGTCTTATCTTGATTTAAAACAAACACCATCACCATCATTAATCAATATAGATTATTCATCATTAAAAAAATCTTTGAAAGATCCAATTAATGATCAAACATTTTCTTCATGTCCTTTAAAATTACTTGATCAACTTGAAACTCAAATGGTTGTTCCATTTGAATTTCGTCGTTTACGTATTGAACAACCTGGTCATTATACAAAATTTTTAGATGATGATCCACGTGAAACAGTACCTGATTTATCGACAACTGTTTATGAAAGACGTTCAGATCCTGACGGACTTCGATTTTGCCGTACTTGTCGTGATGGTAAATTGAAAAATAAAAAATATTTCTTTTAAAAATTTATTTTTTTTAATAGGTCTTTGGACTCAATTAACAGTATGTGAAACAGTTCGATGTGATGCAGAATTATTACGAGCTAATCCACGTTTAGTTAGTGAATGGGGTGAAATAAAACCAACAGATGGTGGTGCACTTTATGCTCCATCAAATGTTTTTGCTATATATGCTTTTGCTTTTGGACCACATTGTAAGAGATGTGAATCAAATGGACAATGGAGTCGTTATGCTTTACCAGAACTTTGTTCAGGAATTAAATTTTTTGGTCATTCATCAATAGCAGCAGCAACAACAACAACAACAATAGGAATAACAAAAACAGCATCTATAAGCAATGTTATTTCGAAAATGAAACCAAATACAACAACATTATCAAATAAATTAATAAACAAAAAACAATAATATGTACTTGTTTATTTGCATAAATATATATCAGTGTAGATTAGAAGGATTCTATTTGAAACAAAAAAAAAAAGAAAAAACTTTTTATCACACAACATAAAAATTCAGTACATATATATGATCTTTATTAGATAAGTAAGAGAACAATAATTCCATTAGTAGTTTATTACTAACTCTTTGGAGCAGGTGGCAATGATTCGACATAATTGATTAAATCCTATTTAAAGAAAAAAATAAACTATTTCATATATACATCGTAGTAAAAAAGTGATAAGTACTGGTTAAATTATCAAACAATTCTTATCTCTATATCAAATGTCAGTGCGTTTTGGACAATCTTATCATCAGTTCATAAAACAAAACATAAAATATAATCGTTCTAATAGAACATTTAATAATCTAATCGAATATTAAATGTATTGACAAATGATTTTTATTTAAGGAGTACATTCGATTTGATTATTAAAGTTTTCATTGTAATAATGATATGTTTTGATAATCTATCAATCTATTGTCATTCTTTGCAATGAAATTATGAAAATAATTTATATAAAACACAATGACATAAGATAAAAGGATAAAAAAAACTATTGCTAAATTATTCTTGAACTATTCTTAAAGTTGATCACCTACCATCTTGTTAGTAGACATAGCTAATTGTTGAAGTGTTTTCCCACCAGCCTAAAAAAATATATTTCTTTCATAGAAAAGTTTATTATTCTTTATTCTCTACTATACTTTGCTTAATTTTCTAAAATCACCTCCATGAGTAACTAATAATTGTGTTGTTAATAAATTGCCACGAATAACACCCATTTGTAAAGCTGTTGTACCAGTTGATTTATCTTCACATTCAACATTTGCACCATGATTTAGAAGAAGTTCAATTATATCTTTATTACAATCATGCATTACTAAATAAATTCTTTCTACAAATAATTTATTGATTTCAAGAATATATTTTTACCTGCTCGATATAATGGTGTCCATTTATGTAATCCAACTTCTTTATTCATTTCAGTCTCTTTATCATCTTTTAAGCTTCGAACTATAATAGCAATTGTTTCAAAATTTTTACTATCAATTGCATGATGTAATACAGAAATACCTAAACGAAATAATTTGAAATAATATTTTCTTTTATATTTGATTTTATTCACTACCATTATGATCAATACTATAAACATTTGCGCCATTTTCAATAAGCAATGCACATGCTTTATGAAAACCTGTACTAGCTGCAACCATAAGTCTAAATTTGATTTATAAAAATTAATTCGACGATGACAAGAGAAAAATCAACATACGGTGTTTTGCCCGAACCAATACTACTGTTAACATTTGCTCCAGCTGTAATCAATAATTCAACTTTCCTATAACGGAAAAATATTTAATTCACGATTATGACAAAGAAAAAAATCTTTAGTAATATCTACCCAACATCAAATTTAGTACATGCATGCATCAATGGGAAATTTCCATCTTTATCCGGACGTTCTAATAAAGAATGATTTGGACCTCTATAATAAATAAGTTCGACTAATTGTCTCTTTTATTCAATAATGAATTACAAAACATACAAAATTCGAAGTAATTTTTCTAATTGTTCTTTTCCAGGCACAAGAATTGCTTTGAAAACTGTTTCAGCAGTCATTGGTTCCGGTAATGTTCCTACTTGTAATATTGGTGACCAATCGGAACGTTCGCCACCATTACAACCAGATTTACATTGTATACGATATTCATATTGAGTATTCGCTTTGAGATTTTCAACTTTATATGACATTGCTGATCCTCTAATTATGTTTAAACGAAAATAAATCAAAACCAAAAAAAAACAACATCTATCGGACATACGTATAAATACTTCCCCACAATGAACTAACTCTTTTCTCACGTCCATGTAAATAAATTAAAGAACCTGGTCGTGCTGCA